CCCTTGCCTGCACATGCTCAGACCAGCAGAATGGCATTAACCAATCAGGACAGCGTTCAAGCCTCTCCACCGTTTAAAAGCAGCTGCCTCTGGCTCTACTTCCTCTCTCTAAGCTTTCTCTCGTCCCTGCTCTATCTTCCCTTCCCCCAATTTTCGTCAATCAAAGGGCTCCGAATAAAGACGTGACCAGGGAAGGAATTCTCGTTTTAGGTGGCGTTCATTCCTGCTGGTCAGGATGCGCGTCGCACCTGTCAGAATGGCTAAAATCAAAAACACCAATGTAGCCTTTGCTGGAGAGGATGTGGAGTAAGGGGAACACTCATCCATTGTTGGTGGGGATGCAAACTTGTGCAACCACTTCGGAAATCAGTGTGGCAGTTTCTCAGGAAATTGGGGATCAACCTACCCCAGGATGCAGCAATACCACTCTTGGGAATATACCCAAGAGGTGCCCTATCATACTATAAAAACATTTGTACAACTATGTTCATAGCTGCTTTATTTGTAATATCCAGAACCTAGAAGCAACCTAGATGTCCCTCAGTTGAAGAATGGATAAAGAAAGTATGGAATATATATGCATTAGAGTACTACTCAGAGGTAAAAAGCAATGAAATCTTGAATTTTGCATGTAAATGGATGGAAATAGAAAACACTTTCCTGAGTGAGACAATCCAGACCCAAAAATATGAATATGGTATGTACCCAGTCATAAGTGGATTCTAGCAATAATTTAAAGGACATTGAGCCTATAATTTGTGATCCTAGAAAAGCTAAATAAGAAGGTAAACTCAAAGAAAAACATATATTTATCCTCCTTGATATTGGAAGTAGATAAGATTGCCAGGAAAAAATTTCGAGATTAGGAGTGGGGGTGAGGTGGAGGTAAGGGGAGATGGGGAAGAGAGAAGTGAGAAGGGGAGAAGGGATGGGAAGAGCTTGGGGGAACGGGACAGTTGGGATGGAGGAAGGGTGGATATGGTAGCAGGGAAGTATATATCTAAATTAAGGGAGCTATTTTAGGGTTGGCAAGAGACTTGACTCTAGAGGGGTTCTCAGGTTTCCAAGGAGATGTCCCCAGCTTGTTCCTTGGCCTGCTGAGGAGAGGGTACCTGAACTGGCCCTATCCTATAACCACATTGATGAATATCTTGCATATCACCATAGAACCTTCATCTGGTGATGGTTGGAGATAGTGATAGAGACCCACATTGGAGCACTGGACTGAGCTCCCAAGGTCCAAATGAGGAGCAGAAGGAGGGAGAACATAAAAAGGAAGTCAGGACATAAAGGGTGCATCCACCCACTGAGACAGTGGGACTGATCTAATGGGAGCTCAGCAAGGCCAGCTGGACTGGGACTGATGGAGCATGTGATCATACCAGACTCTCTGATAGTGACTGAGAAGTCAAGGACAATGGCATTGGATTTTGATTCTACTGCATGTACTGGCTTTGTGGTTGCCTAGTCTGTTTGGAAGCTTACCTTCCTAGACCTGGATGGAGGGGGGAGGCCCTTGGACTTCCCACAGGGCAGGGAAGCCTGTCTGCTCTTTGGACTGAAGGGGGGGGGAGAGTATGGGGGGAGGGGGATTAAAATGGGAGGAGGTGGAAATTTTTAATTAAAAATAAAAAATTAAAAAATAAAGTTGATTGGCCCATTAACAAAAAAAAACTGTTAAATGCTGTTTTTTATTGACTCTCAAGAATGTCAGTTACCATTGGGAATAGCTGGGGCTAGACTCCCCAAAAAAAAGTTACAAGAAAAAAACACCAATGTCAAGTGAGTCACCAAAAGCATCAACTACAATAAATTAGGTTTTAAAACATATATTCTTATAAACTGTTTCATATTGTTAATACTTAAATTTTAGCTTCACTGTCTTTGCTAAAATCATTAATTTAAGGTTCAATCTGACAAAATATGGTATATAGTTCTGGTGTGTTAAAAATACAAGTCAATAATCAGTCATCCTCAAAGTACTAATATAAATGCAGGGATAAGCCTTATTTAGTCACCTATATATGTTTCTTAAAGTAAAGTCTGTCTAATCAGAGATACCTAAACAGCCCAAATACTTCAGATATATAAAAAATGGCATTTAAAATAAAATTTAAAAAGCTTATATCAGACAGAGACTCTGAAATCCTAACAGTGACCCAAGGTCTCCAAAGAAGACTATGGGACACCACAATGTCTCCATCTGAATAACAACAACACTGACCATGGGGAAAGATGACCCCAGGTGCAGCAATGGCTGCCAGGACCCAGCCCAGACTGTGAACAAACAGTTGGACCTTGGAGAATTGATTGCACTGCTTTTGCCTAGACAAAATAAGGTCAGTCTTTTCCATGTCCCTCTTCCACAGAAACCAATCACCATATGGGTCTGGTAAAGCCTGCTGTTCTGATACTTCTGCTTCCAGTGCTATGGAGACCTGGATATGACTGTATATGGGCTGGTCTCTGTCATTTTTCTGTTTTGTCTGTACTTAAATATATTTTAAGTTTTAAATATTTAAAATATTTAAGTTTATTTAAATATTAAGTTTTTAATATTTAAGTTTAAAGTACTTAAATATATTTTATAGTTTATTTATCCTTCTAAAATCTCTGATTGTATTAATGGCTAAGCCAGCTATAATATCAATTTAAGAGCAAAATGGATATCCAGATCCATACACAAAGCTATAGCCAGCCTGTTAGCTCATTATATATAAAGATCTGAGGACATAAAAGTTCATAAAAAGTAAAACAATGACTACATACTATTTGGGTTACAAGCTCAAAATTTTCTGTGTTTTTGCTATGACTCAAAGGTATAAGTCTATTTTTACTGTTTCATAGATATCTGTTATTTGCTATTTCTATAATATGGATTTTAATATGGGCCTAAAAGTTTCAAATGTATTGAGTTCTGTTCCTAGTTTAAATTTGTCTCAACGGGTTTTGCCTTGGTTGGTGGATAAAAACAAGCATCAATTGCTGACTATAACCTGCTCCAAATGACTGTGGACCATGGACTTATTAAAAACGATGTGGACCAGTCTAGTCAATGTCAATGCTGCCTGGCTCTTCAACAAAGCCCACAAACTAAATGTTCCCAAAATTTTCTCTTTTTGCCTAGCATTTCACCTTTGTTAACTATTGACCATGACGCCCTAAAGTCAACTAGAAGCAGTTAAAAGAATCCATCGTCCAAAAATCCCTGGTTAAAATGCTGTCAAAAAAACATAAAAAAGACTCTGTAAATGTAAAAGACAATTTGGCCAAAGTTAGCAAAGCCAGCTCATTATTGAGCTTAGGACCCAGAGGAGTGGGGAATGTGGAACCCTCACCCCTTATTTTCAAAGGGGCAAGAAGAAATTTCCTAGCAGAATGTTTTCCCAGGAAGATAGTGGCCTTCCCCTCTCCCACTTGGGAGATTCCAAGAACAAGGTCACTTAGCTCAGTCCAGTCAGCCACATGGTATAGGTTGTTAAAGATGGCCTAACTCATGAACAGTGACCTTGCTCTAAGAACAAGGAGCAAGCTGACTTAACAGAATGGGAGGGAACAAAAGGCCTTGTACCCATGCCAAAGCAGCTTCAAAGATTCTCTTTGCAGTTATGTCTTTAAAAGCTTACCCCACAGAGGAGATTCAACTCCTCTCTAAACCTTGTTCTAAGGGGGATAGAGATGAGTTCCAAACATGTTTGTCTTATGCTGATGAAACCTTGCTTATTACAGTCTGGGCCTCTCTGGTGGTCTCTCTCTGGGGGTCATAATCTGGGCACAACAAGAGGCGCTTGGATTTTCTGAGTTTGAGACCAGTCTGGCCTACAGAATGAGTTCCACAACTACACAGAAAAATCCTGTTTTGAAATCACCAAAACAAGAAAATCTGAATCAAACAAGTCTATGATCTAACTTTAACCTTCTCACCTTCAGGTAGCAGCACTTACATATAAAGTATATTGAAGTAGAAAAGTCTCTTTTTGTCACCTTGCTCTGGCTACCAAGCTCATTCCTTTACTAGTACTAGAGACTACTCTAAAATTTTGGTGAATACTTAAAACCAGCTGAGACATCAAGCCTCGTGGGATGAATAACAACTGGATTCTTCACTTGATCTTTGGGGAAAATCTGAGAAGAAATTTACTGGATTCTTCACTTGTCATTTATAAGTAGTAATTTTTTAAACAAACTGAAACACAGCTTGTGAGACATTCTAATAAGCCCACTTTCTATGTACTTGTTGAGCTTCATTCTACCTGTCCTGTTCATGCAGAGAATCTTGAACACCGCAGTTGTATATTTTATTCACCAGACCATGAAGGAAAATGTGCTGGTTAACAATAGTGCTCATGAAGACATTCCTTCTAGCTCCATTATTCTCTATGTATTCACATTTCCATGAACAGTACTCTTTTTATTATTATTCATTTTCCTGGAGTTTGCTTCAAATTTCAGTAATAAAATGGTCATCCAGCCTTCTGATGGGGGAAAAGCATCTTGTTTAAGAACTGGCTCCTGCTTTTCTCTTTTCTGTTGTGTGAAATCCCTGTGAAAACCATGTAAAAAGTATCTTTAGTTTATCTGATCTCAGCATGAAGCCACAGAATAAACATTTCCTTTTGTGACCTCAAAATTCTCTTTAGCTATTAATATTCTAGGCATTCTTTCCCCTGTGGGGCAAGGAATCCCTGCATCCACCTAGCACAGCACAGTTCACAGTACAAGTCAGCTAGCCACGGTGTGTCCCGGAGGAAAAAGGGAAAGTTCCTATGGAATGCAAGATTTTGGCGGTGTCTGCTTTTATAGCCAGGGGCAAGTGCTATTGAAATGCATATCTCAGCCAATCAAGAAAAGGTCTTTGACTCAGGCGGATGGAATGGCCAGAAACCTCTGTGCTGTCTCTTTAAGCACATTTCTGCAATGTGGGAGGTGTTTTTGTCACTCAGGCCGCACTAGCCAATCAGGCCCTCCATGTGACCTGCCAGTCAGAAGTCCTACAGGGCTCTTCCGGGCATCCGCATTCAGTCTCGATTTTGCAGAGAAGCTGGCGCCGGTGGTTCCCTGTGTTGTGGTGAAGTTGCTGCTGCCAGGAGATGATAAACTGAGAGCTTTGGCGAGCTGAGAAACCACAACATGGTGAGCGGGGGAATGCTGTCTCCAGATGGGGAGGAGCAGAGGGTGAGGTGCGGGAGACAGTATTGTGTCCTTCTGGGATCTGTGTGGGAACCTGCTGCCAGATTCTCTGCATTGTTAAGTCCCATGCGGTTTTGTTAATTCCTAGACCTAGGGACAGGCCTCTGAATAACTTTGTGCTTTGGGCTTAATCCGCTTAGAGAATTGGGAGCAGGGTGCTGTGTGTACAAACATCTTTCTTGTCAACTTCAATATGCCGAAGTTGGAGAAGCCTAGTTTCTCCAGTATCTTCTCGATATTGAGCACTTTGCATTTAACTTTACATATAATCTTCATTTATATTTAACTATGTGGATGTTATCAAGGCATCTCACCTGTTGGGTAGCGCTGCACTTCTAAGCTGCAACGTAGAAGAGTAGAATTGCTGATACAAAGGATTTGCCAATGCCTTGGAAAGAGTTAAATCTCACAAAGTAGAATTTAGCTGAGGGAGGACTGCCTCTAAAACACACAAAAGATAAATGTATTTTAATCAGTTTAGGATGCTAGGGTACATATTGTTCAACTGGTTTGTACAGATATTTGGCTCCAAACCATTACAAAGAAGTCACCACTGGTTTAAAACCAGACACCAGGCACATCCCCATATCAAAGAACAACCTCTATCAAGCCTCTCAAGGAGGCATTACAGGTTGGCACCCTAAGTGCGTGAAGTGATTTCTCAATGGAAAGGCCTATTAATTCTAAAACAGCCACATTTCCATCCTGTTAGAAAAATTGTTTCTGAGACAAATTCTCTTATGTTGACTCCGGTGGCCATGGTCTGTTGCTATCCAGGGCAATGACCTTGCAGTCCTATACATTACATTTTCAAATTTCCTTTAAAAAGTGATTGTACCACCTCACAGTTTTAAAATTATGCATTTGAGTCATATAGTTGACTATGCAATGCAGTTGCAGGGAAAGGATTTGCATATGGAGCATTCCTTCTGTCTTCAGACCACAATAGGAGGAAGCGTTTATTGAAGCTGGTGGAAACACAGTGCAGAAAAGGAGAGGCTGGACTGAGGGTGAAAACTTTCCCCCTTCAACAATAGTTGAGATTAGCTATGTGGAATCAGGTTGTCATTTGTAGATGCTCTATTTATGTCCTGATTGACCATTGTTTGTAGTCAAACAGACCAGCCCAAAAAGGAATCTGGGAAAGGGGCTGACCTTATCTTTAAACTTAATTGCTATATTTACAATAGCTCATCTGAAATAGAAGATCTGGGTAAAATGTTGTGGCCCTACTTAACAAGACTTTTCTCTATTAAGGCATTGATCTTTCAAGAAAATACATGAGAAATTTTTAATGTGCTCTATTACAAATCTCTAGTCTCTGGAGTACATAACCATAAAGTCTGTCTCAAGTTTTCAAAATAGTTTTTGCAAAGACAACTATATCATATTTACATTCTCTTTGCTGCCTCCAAGCCCTAATATGCCTGGATTATAATTCCTGGTCTGTTTTTCTTTAACAACAGCTACAAAGTAACCACAGTTGCACAATAACAGTAGTTACTTTATGAATGTGACCCGTGTCTTTAGGATTTCCCATCTCTGAGCCAATGGGATGGCTGCACTGGAAAGTAAGTATGTAACAGAATGTGCACACAGAGGACCCTGTGCTTTAGATGAGGAAGAAGATGTGCTCTAGGAGAGTGGAATAATGTGTACTAAATACAAATTTTCTAAACTAGGGCCCAGTCTGCTGGGCTGGGAGGGCAGAACTGGAGGGACTGTGCTGTCTGAGTCATTTGATCTCTGATCCTCCTGTAGAGGAGCTGCTAATATTGAGAGGCCCAGCTGTGTGGCCCTAGTCAGTGAGGGATTCTGGGAAGTGTTAGCAATCAGGAGTACTAGTGGCAGACAGTTTGTGAGTTCTTTCCATGATTCTCTTCTGTCTCTGCTGTAGGGAGTGGTAAGGAAGACTGTACGCTCTCCTGTAATGAGTGGGGGTGTGTGCAGAGCAGGTCTGTTGAAATGTCATTTCTGCTGGGACTTGGAAGTATCATGAGCTAGACTGTAGTTATGTTGGTCCATGTGGTTCATGTTGGCACTTGCCCTTGTTCTCTGAACCTCTTTGTGTATGGAAATACTGGGGAAGGGGAGACTTTGCAACCCTGAACTGGAAGAAAATGATGCTGGTTATATCTCTGTCCAGAGTATTCACCTGGGCACTGCTTTCATTGTACAGTGGGAAGAGAGATTAGAAAACTGAAGGTTTAGTTTCTAGAAGTTCTGAATATTGCATTTCAATTTTAGGTTTGTGTTATAAAGATTACACATTGTATAGGACCTGGTAGAGCAATAGTTGAGTAGAGTACTTTTAACATTGTGTTGCCACTAGCTGCAATGGTGTGATCTAGTGAAGCTTAGTTCCAGAGGGCATAGAAAGTTTCTGATGTGCAGAGATTTCTCAGGTGTGCATTGGGTTGGACAGGTAGATAGGGCACAATCCACATATTCTGCTTTATGCCATGTAGCAGGAAGCAGATTTTAAATCATTTTTTAGGTTGTTTTGGGATTGGAAAAGATTAATTAAGTTAACACTTCATCAAGCATCTTAAAATATATGCTCAGTTAACAGAAAGGGGTAATTAAGGCCCACAGAGATATATTACAGAATAGATTATTAACTTTTAAATTTTTAAATGCTAATAAAAAAGAAGCAACAGGTGTGGGTAAACATTAGATAATAAAAATCCCTGCTACATTAAACCAACCTGTATGCTTTAAAGATACATTGCATTCAGAATATAAACCAAGATATGTATTAAGTTGGGGAAGAAAGTTATTGAGACCATTTAAATCCTTAAAGATTAGTTTCAGAAAAAAAGATCTCAAACAATAGTTCATCAGAGAGCATTATCATTCAATCTTAACTAATTTGTAAGACTAACAGATGTTTTCCTTTTGATTAAATATAATTTCCAAAAATAAAATTCCAAAAAGTTAGGGTTAAGGCAGAGTTTTGTTTTGTCTTTACAAAAGCATGAAAATATCGAACTAAGGAATCTAAAAACCACTAAACAACTGAGATATCTAAAAAATAACACATCATCCAAATAAAATATCCCCATCTAAAAGAATAAATTGTCTTAACAGTCACTTTTTATAATCATCCTTATAATCATGTTAGGTGTGTTTTCAAGGTGAAACAAAAAGACATTTTCTTTCTCTTTTTTTAAAGAAAGATTCCTCTGTGTTCCTCTGACTTTCCTGGAACTCACTTTCTAGAACAGGCTGGCCTCAAACTCAGTGAGATATATCTGCCTCTGCTATGAAAGTGCTGGGATTAATGGCATGCACCACTGTAGCCTGGCAAAAATTTATTTTAAATAGACGGGTGGTGTTGTTTCTTCATTTTAAATGTTGTTTGCTTTATACTTCCTGTTTACTCAGGTAATATTATATCCTTCTGGGTTCTCTGATGGAGCTAAGGACTCGATAATTGTAATTATGCATTGAAAAAACAATGAAATGTTTTTTCAATTAACAAATTGAAAAAAAATGACATAAAATGTATAAAGTATATATGGCTAGGTGACATAAAAAGATTGTTTAAGGTTGGTAAGGTTAGGATAAAAATTAATTTATGTACACCTTGGGCGTACTAAGATAGGATAGATGATCAAACATTTTCTCTGAATTTACCAAATGCAAATTGTTAGTATAATTCTTCAATGTATATATTATATATATTTATTGTATTTGGTGTACATAGCTTTACTATGTTAGTTAAAACCTTCACTTTTTAATTAGACAAATAGGGAAATGTGTGATAGTTTGATTATATTCTGATAATAAAGCTTGCTTAGAGTCACAGCATAGTTAATAACTACTTGACCAAAAATTACCATAGAGGTTTGGAGGACTCTGGACAGATAAGAGTCAGGATTACTAATGCAGGCCTAAGAGAATATTAGCACTTTACTAATATGGAGAAACTGAAGAGATGGTAGTCACTATTTGCTGGTTAACTGCTTTTCTGATCTTTCAGTTTCTTAACCTGCTCTCTGACTCCTGATTTCTTATTATTAAATGTCAATTAGATTAATGCATCAGCATGGATAGAAATTTCTAAGCCTTTTGAAAATGAAGCCCATGTACCAGAGAAAGAGTCACAGAATTTCTCATTTGCCCTGCTGAATTTTCATCTTTGCTTGATCCAATCTTCCCTCAGTTTTCCTCATTCCTCTCTTTTATTTATCTTTTATTTATTCTTCTTTCATCTTGACATCAGTGTTTCCTCCCACCATTGCTCTCTGTCCCAACCTTCCCCCAAATCTCTTTTCTTTGTTTAACTTTAGAGAAGAGCAGGTCACTCATACATATCAACCAACATGGTGTCTTAATTAGAGTTTCTGTTGTTGTGATGAAACATGATGACCAAAATGCAAGATTGCGAGAAAGGGGTTAATTTGACTTATACTGCTATATTGTTGTTCACTGTTAAAGGATGTCAGGGAAGGAATTTTTAAGAGGGCAAGATTCTTAATTGATTTTTGTATGTTGAACCATCCTTGTATCTCTGAGATGAAGCTGACTTCATCATGGTAGATGATTTTTTTGATGTGTTCTTGGGTTTTACTTGCTAGTATTTTATTGAATATTTTTGCATCTATGTTCATCAGTGAGATGGGTCTGGAATTCTCCTTCTTGGTTGAATCTTTGTGTGGTTTGGTATAAGGGTAACTAGCTTCATAAAAGGAGTCTGGCAATCTTACTTCTGTTTCTATTATGTGGAACCTTTTGAGGAGTATAAGTTATTAGTTCTCGGTTCTGACAGAATTTTGAAATGAAACTGTCTTGTCATGGGCTTCTTCTGGTTGGAAGGCTTTTGATGATTTCTTCTCTTTCCTTGCAGGTTATAAGCTAATTTGAATTGTTCATCTGGTGTTGATTTAATTTTGGTATTTTATTGACTTTAGCCCTCAGTTTGATTATTTCCTGTGCTC